TTTTTTTTTTTTTTTTCAATATTATTGGTGGGGTAGATGTGAGTTCAAGATTATTTGGGTAGTGAGTGTAAAGTTTGGAGGAGAAAATGTAAAAAAGGAGGTCTGATAGTGAAATGCTGGTGTAGCATTAAAACTTTGTATAATGTTGGTTAATTAGTGAAGATACCTTAAATTCTGTCCACATTGATTTGCTGGTGTAGCATTAAAACTTTGTATAATGTTGGTTAATTAGTGAAGATACCTTAAATTCTGTCCACATTGATTGATGGATGTAATTAATTATATGAATATTTCAAGAAATGTGCTTCTCCATATCTTATATGGATTATTGAACATGTTAAAATCTTATTTAATTAACTTTTTCAATCTAAAATGATCATTGTAAAAAGCTTAATAGAACTCCAATTTTTTAGTGGAGAAAGTTCGTTGAAATAGTAATATTCTTTTATTGACAAATAACTAATAAAATGTGATAGTGAAATTAGTTATATAATACAAATTGTAAAGCTTATTTCATTAACCTTTTCAATCTAAAATGATAATTCATTTGCGTTTTTGAGTGGAGAATATAAAATTTTTAAAATAGTAATATTCTTCTATTTGCAAAATATTGCTTAAAATTTGATAGTGAAATCAATTATATTACAATCATATCAGCTTATAGCAAAATAGAGTCCTGTAGTCGAGAGCATAATAAGGAGTATTCCGATGATGTCCTTCCCCGGTTCAGGCCGGAAAACCGATGGACCGGTTTAATCGAATTACGTCATATTCTTTACTTCTTCTCTCTCTAATCAGTTCTTTTGTCTTTCTTGTTCTTCTCTCACACACAACACGGGTAATGGACACGCAGTCAACGTGTACCTGCTGTATGCCAACACCTCTGCCCCAAGCGAAAAAAACCCATTTTTATTCCAATCCCAATTTCCCCTTTGCAATTAATCCAAGCAATCTCCTTCACATTAATGGCGGGCCTTTATTGTTTCTGTTGATTGTTTATCAGGCGGGTCTGTATCGGTGCGCGTGTATTGCTGCTGTTGATCTTATCCGTTGATGCCCGGCATCGGATCAATCTTGGCCGTTGGGTCGTTCTGTTTCTTGAACTCCATTTTCGTTTTCCTTTTGAGTGCGTGTATTGTTTAATGAGGTTCTGGGGCGGTGCTGTCTGCTATTTTGATTGCTCTGGACAACAATTTTTATGGGATTTCCTTGATGAGCTTCAGCTTGCACTGTTGTATTCAGGTTTTGAGTTTTGATTTCTTATTCTTCTTGTATACATTTTTCTTTAATTTGAGTTGGTGATCGATGGATGATTATTTTCGTTCTCTTTTTTTTTTGGTTGATCTGATGGAACAGTGGTGGATAGTGTGAAATTGGAGAAGAAGGGAACTTTAGGTACTTATTTCGTTAATGGCGAACGGGAGCAACACCGACCGCTGCGTATTTCCTTTGACGGGCTTGCAAATTGGGTAATTTGTGAAGTCTTCTGGTCTGAATTTTGTTCTGGAAGAATCTTACTCTTTTTAGTTCGCTTTAAATCTAGGGACTTTTTCAGTTGCTAGTGCATCAAATGCATGTCGGTTGATGGTGTCCGTTGTACTTTATTGATAGTAATGAGTTCTGTTGTAAGGTTAATGGAAAGATAGTACTGGGATCATTCTTGTTATCCCGGCTCCATTTTATGTTTCTTGTTTCATGTTTTGAAAGATCAGCTGACTCTGTATCTGTTAACACATGTGTTTGCTCGTTCTTGGAGAAATATTTCATTTGTGATTAAGTAATGGATTCGACTTAAAGTAGTTCATCAATTGAATAGGATTCTCTCATATACTTTTCAATTGGAAATTATCTGTACCGTTGGGACTTGGGAGGCTGTACAAAGCTTTTATGATGTATAATGGATGCTTTTTAAGTTTTTCATCGTTCACTTTACCACATAAGTTGTTTGCTATAGTTTAGAAGGAAAAGTTGAATAATTCATTTCCTGAAAGCCCGAATATTTTTTTAGTAACAATTTACATGGATTGTGCTCATCTCTGATCCTACTGTCTTTGCATCACCTTGCATTCCTTTCTCTCCACAATATGGTGCTGAGCATGTTTTCTTTTCTTTTTCGTTTATGTCTAATAAATTTGATACGAGAGACCCTTCTTATTTTGTTTCTTCCTCAGAGATCTACAGTCCTACCTTTCACATCTCAGCATATTTATGGCATTTGAGAGCGGTAATTTCTACATTTTGGTGGACAACAGGCCATGGTTAAAAGATCTCGTGTCACGACCCACTCATTTGTGGCAATTGATGGTCACCAAGGTTTGCTAAAGCACCTCTATCTCACTCAAGCTTGTTAGAATTTGGAACTTTTGATATAAACCCTACAATTAAGGATCTAAAATATGATTTCTTGATAATTGTAATCGTACAGTCCAGGTTATCCCCTTTTGCTAACACCGGGGGTAGGAAGGAGAGGAAGACGATGGAACAATTTTCGGATATACAGGCTGCCTCGTCAGCGAACAGTCGGAATTTGAGAGACTTTACAAAATGGTTTTCTTTGATTGATGCTTTGATGTTGTCCAGGAAGAGGGCTTTGATGCCTGTAAAGAAACTGAGGAATTCTTTGATTGCAAACAGCAAGTTGCATAGGACTTTGTATGGATTCATCGTGTTTGAGGTTGCATGGGGAGATGTGCGTGGTATTAACTATTTGAATGAGCTTCAGGTAGCCGGTTGAGCTATTATTCATTATACTGTAATTTGATATTTGTTCTTTAATTCTGAGCTTTTTTTTTTTTTTCCTTGTGTTTGTGATGTTAAAGACTGATACATCACTTGCGATAGAGGCTAAAGTCATGAGGAGATGGGAATTTGATAGCATAGCTCAAGCAGCTAGGTCAATATTCTCTTGGTTCCCAGGGACACTCGATGAACAGATTCTCTTGGAAGAGCATTTAGATGCTGTATTAGGTATTTTTCATAATTTTTTTTTTTCTCTCTTATAGTAATTTTCTTTTAAACTATGGAATATATTCTTGCCCCATTTACTCATTTTCTGTCACTGATTCAGGTAATAATGTAAGAAACATGACTTGAACAAATGCATAGAGAATTAGATGAATGGTTCGCCTCTCCATGTTGGTTTACTGAAATTGCTTAGGTCAGATAGAAAAAAAGTCATGAGTAATTGATATGCATGATGATTAAAGTGTAAATTGGGGTTAATTTGCTTCTGCTTTAAATGTAGTTCTTCATTGAAGTAAAATTTTTTTTGGGGTGATTTTATATTTTGAACTGGTTGATTTTTGCCCTTGCATGAATGACATACTTGATCATCAATTTTTTTCATCTTGTGAAAAGAAGTTATTTTTAGCAAAATCCCTCCCTCATAGTGCATGGTAATTCCATGCGCAAAACCTTTGTGTAATGTTCACTAATAAAATAACAAAAATCAGTATTCAGTAAGCATATTATCACTAAATTCGAGATTTCTCAGGAGAGGTTTTCCATGATGCTCAAGAAAGATTCCCCCGAGCTAACGATGACATCATCAATGACGAAATGTGCACCGGAGATGAATCCCTCTGTTTCAATGTCTATCCAGTGACAACGAAGAATAGGTTTAGTAGATTAATCACGCCACCTCCACTGGACGCTCCTTACAAAAGGAGGAAAGTCATGACACCAATATATTGTGAGCTCGGGATTTCTTCGGGAGAAGAAACAGATAATAACGAAACAGTCGAAATTCTTCCTCATCAGGCCCCTGACCTGAATAATTCCGAAGAAATACCTAAACCCACATTGTACAGAGATGTTCTGATTTTATTCCGGTTCAATGATAGAGACCTCCCGTTCAAACTAAAAGACATAATCATGTCCGATTTGCGGCTACTTACCTTACTCGAAGCTGGACTTCCTTCTTGGGTTATCTTCCTTCAGTCTTACCCGGTATTTTGCCATTTTTATCGCCCGTGGATGTGCCCTCTGGCTAGAGCCTTATATGTCTTCATATCTATTATAACAGTCCTCATCGGATTTTACGATTTGTACAAAAACGTGCCCCTCCTCAAGGCAACAGCCTCGAGTTTATTCGGACCCTTTTTCGACTGGATAGAAAAGTTGGAGATGATTTCGAGGATTAAGTATTTAGGAACAATGTTGTTTCTTCATAATTTTCAGAAGGCAGTTAAGTGGTTCCTCATGGTGACTCGGACCGCTCGTACGTGCCTATCGTTCGTTATAGATCCAATGGCCGGGCCTTTTGCTGAGGTCATGGAGTTTTTTGTACCCATTTGGAGCATTTTTGTGAAGCTGGCTGAGAGTTTCTTCTCGGTGACATGGATGGTGATCGAGTCTTGTTTCACGATGGTAGGGGACATTATAGAGATTTTACTGCTTCCAGTTTGGTACATTTTGGGGGTTGTATGGAATATTGGTGAGCTAACTTCATGTTACGATTTTTTTTATTTTTTTTTTTTTGATTTGTAAGAATTGTGGACATAAACAAATTTTTTTGTTTGATTTGCAGCAACATCTGTTATATACCCTACATTCTGGATTATATGGGAAATTCTATACGCTCCGATTCGGCTAGTCCTTGGGTTTTGTAGCCTTGTGGTGCATATGTGTAAATTTGTATACGAGTTGGTTGGAGACTTATTGCTGCTTTCAAGTAGGATTTTTAACTTAACGAGCGAGGTCGAGTCAACAGTGAGCTCGTATGAGGTCTCGATGTGGCGTTCGCTTTGGAATGACCTTTTCTCCCAGGTGATAATTTCATCGTGAAATTACACTTCTAATTGGAGTTAATATACTTTTCATTTCTAATCTGTTTTTTTTT